ATTACAATTATTGTATCACGTTCATTCTGACTATAGTGCTGTTTGTTTTTACTATATCTTACATTCATCCTAACTATAAAATATCATAACTATTAGGATCCTGTAGATGCTAGCATAAGTATTATTTTCATGTTCGTATCTGTTCTAATTTGAATAGGCTTTTAGCAAAAGTTAAAATCGAAGATGCATATTGGTAATTTCACTATAATTCATAACATGATCATTGATCCTAAAGTGCTAATCTAAATAAAGTCTATATTAGTTAAGAAAAAGAAATACAATCATCAAAGTTCTGAAATTAACTAAAGTTATATATTATATTATTGTGAAATAATATCTACTAACATATTATTTTGAATATATATACATTATTTAGAATATATACATAAGCGTTGTTTTGAAATAAAAATAATTTTCTTGAACCTAAAATTTCAAATTGTTTATACTGGATACACATTATTTAAGAGGTGAATAGTTGTTATTTAAAACTATTATATTATTTTCATAGAGTACAATTATCTAAATAATACTCATACCCATTATTTTGCAACAATACGAGATAAACAAAAACTCAAAAACCATCTCAGATTCATAGAAATTGATTAATTCTTAATAGTAAGAATATTTCTCTATATATTTTCCTATGTTTATATAATTTATCAATTCAAGCTTTGTTAAAATTCCTTCTGTAAATTTATAGAATTTGTACATAATCTACATATTCATTGATATGTGTGTATATCTAAATTCAAAAAATAAATAATAGTTAATATTGTTAAAAAAATTTTTTAAATTTATGTATATATTTATACTTGTTATATTACCCTAAAACCCCAAAGTCCCAAAAGATAGAAAGTAATAGAATCCTTGTAATTATATCATACGATATAATTGAATGAAAAAATATAGACATTATTTTAAAAAAAAATCAATTTTGTAGCAATAGTATATATTATTTGAAGTAACACTCATAAAAGCTATAAAATAATACGCATTACATATTATATCGATATTAAATAAAGTAATTATTAGGTTTGAAAATTGATTTTTATTTCAAATATCTATGTGGGCATATTCAAATAACGTGCGAATTGGTGTTAGCTCACAATTATATAGTATCTAAAAATTATAAAAATTATCAGATAAGAATGATTTTTAATCTTCACTTTTTTTAAAGTTATAACAAATCTAATAAAATCATCACAAACAATTATTTTGTCTATTTGTTTTTGCTTTTTTTTTTTGTATTAGTAGTTAATAGCCTCATTATAATAATAGTTTCGACCTCTAGTACTAGTAGTTTATCTAAAAGAATAGATACAAGTTTTGGTTCAAATGATTCATTTTCTAGAAATAAATCAAAATATATTGATTAAGAAGATATTGTTAATCCATATTCTCAATTGATTTTAAAAAAAAAAACAAAAAAAAATCAGTATAAGAAAAATTTTAAGGATAGTTATGCTTGGTTATTTTTTGACCTTTTTGAATATGAAGATGATGATGAGATAATAACAAAAGTTCGATATTCAATCGAAGGTTGTGAAGTAGAATATACATAGCATAGCTTAACTTCTAATATGATTAACCATCTTTGTGATGTATACTATATCACAAAAATGTCTCTTGAAAATAAATCAATTAAAGAACTTAAAAAACCACTACAACAAATATTTGAAACAATCTTAACAAAACTATATTCCAAACCAAAACAACAAAAACTTACCTAGGATATAGTTAAATTGTTTCTTTCTTGTACCCTTCCTTTGTCTTTAATAGAAAATGAGAATTTTTGTACTTTTTTAAATTCTTTTGATCCTCGATATAAAGCACCTTGTATAAATATACTTAAGCATGAAATTTTAGATGTAACAATTCATACAGTGAAAACTATCAATTATATGATTAGTACTCAAGCAGATATGGTATCACTTACTTTTGACTTGTGAACATCTCAGGTGTATGATTCTTATTTGGGGTTAATGTGTTACTAGATATCTGATGAATTTATAATGTATGATTCTATATTAAGTATAATTGAAATAGGTAAGAATAAAATTGCTAGTAATATTGTTAGCATAATTGAATCTGTATTGGAAGAAGTTGGTATTAGTGGAAGCAAATTAGTAAGTATCATGATGAACAATGGTTCGAATGTTAAAGTAGCTATCACACAACTTTCAACTAAAATTTTACCACCCAAGTCTATTGTCAATATTTTTTGCACAGTACACATATTACAATTAAGTGTTAATACAGACTTAGATAAAGTACATGATCTAATTATAAAATGTAAAGTATTAATTAGATTTTTGGATAGAGAAAAAAAACGTAAACAATTACGAAAAGCACAAATTAGTACTAGCAAAAAAAAATCAAAAACTATTGATATAATTCAAGATATGGATACTTGGTAAAATTCTACATATATAGCACTAAAAAGGCTTACAAAACTTGAAAGGTCAATTAGGTAGTTAATTAATGATCTTGAAAAATTTACAAATATTGAGCATCAGCATAATAGCAGTAATATTCGAGAAAAGTTACTTTCTAATAATGAGTTTCAAATTATACGTGACCTAGTTGACTTTTTGTATCTATTCGATAAAGCTACAGAGTTTCTTTCTGGTTCTAATTATACTACTTTGAGTATTATAGTACCAACAATAGAAGAGTTAATTCATCATTTGAATAATATGAATAGTGAATCTGGTATTATAAATGAAGTGAAAAATACTATTCTTAATAATTTAATAAATCATTGGTCGTCACTATCTAAATACGGATTATATGCCTCTTTGCTTGATCCCAAGTTTAAAAAACTATCCTTTTGCTCTAATATAAATATAAACAAAATTATCAATTTGATGTATATAACCAGTTTATATTTATATTAAATTATAATAGTTGTTACAAAGAGAAACTATTAAAAAATTAAAAAACCAATTTAATAAGCTTAATACAGTCTGGGAATATACCAAATTTGGAAATTGGATTCTAGAATGATCTATGTATAAATCTGATTGATTATGTTACATTTTTTTTATACCTTTTTTTCTCAAGGGTTTCACAATATTTTTTATATCCACTTGCTACTAAATGATAAATGAATAGTTAGCTTAAAGTGCTTATTTTCGATCATCCCAATTAATCCCTTATGGTGGCCTAGTTACAAAAAGGTACATAAGACTATAAGTTTAGGAATTTTGACATATTTGTTAGTTTTATTGTACATTTTAAAACTTTGAATAACTAACATGAAAAGTTAAATAAATATAGCATACTAGTAAGATTAAACGAAGCACAATAGTAAGAATAAACATAGCACAATAGTTAGAATGAATCGCACAATATATAGATTAGAGACAAATATAGCATAGTTAGAACAAACATAGTATAATACGTAGTTAGGACGTGCATAGCATGATAGTTGGGATGAACATAATATAATAGTTAGGATAAATGTAGCATGATACAGTGGTTAGAACATAGTAATAGTTGGGATGAATATAGCATGAT